GTCGCACCAAGGCCCAAAACTAATCGCATGTCGGAGCCAGAGCCAGAGCGGCAACTGTATGAGCCTCCTTGGCCTGTGGTCGACGTCTTTACTCCTGAGGGACGCTTTGTGGGATCGAGGCAGCCGATCGAGGGATGGCTCAACAACAAGCCATTGTTAAAAGCAAAGCATAAAAAGGGCCGTCCTCGAAGAAGTATGAAGGGACAGAAGAAGAAGGAAAAAACAGAATTGAGAGCATACGAGTAGGCCTAATGAAGTTGAGGCTCATGTAAAAACACGGATTTAATGTGTACAAAAGCTGATGACATCACTCATAGCGCTGGCGTTGATCGACTTCGAATTTTCAAAGCATATACATCCCTACTTTCTAAATAGAGAAATATAATCAATAGAGAGAAGCTTTTAAGATAATGCACCGTCTATACTGCCACACTTGCAGTACATGCAAGGACATCAGGGGCGATTACGGGTTTGCCGAACACTGACCGCCCAATATGCCGATGATCGCATGACAAAGCGCCACCTACCGTGGACTCATTAATTTTTGCCCCTCCAAAATTCATCGATGGAACCCAACACAACAAATAATTCGCCCAAACAACCCTTTTCGCCATAGACACTCTGATTTTCCCGTTTTATTGCGATTAATGACTCCATCCTAATACACGCCCCTCAGCTAGACGACCACGACCACGACGAAATCAACGAAGAACAAGGATAGACCACCCCGCCATGTCTCTCCCGCAACAACAACGAGCGGCTCCTTCGACAACCGCGCCTTCACAAACCGCCACAGCGACGCCTCAAACTCGGACCCAGAACCCCACCAGAATACTACGTTTGCGCGGTGACGGAACTTCCACAGGGCGATCAGTACAATGGGCCGAGGATGTAGTAGATAACGAAGGTCTGGGGCGCAAAAGCTCCAAGGGTTGGTCTCCCCTCTTCCGCCATCGGGAACCAGTTATGGCTGACGCCGAATACAGTTTGCTGCATCTATCATAAGCCGAAAGCTGTTGACGAATCCAGCGACGAATCGTCATCCGACTCCGACTCCGACTCCGACTCTGACGAGCCGGACGCAGATCACCGCGGGAAAGGCAAACAACACGACCATGACCCTCGCCGTTGCGGTAGGAAAGGAAAGCGAGATGGAAAGGGGTCCAAGAGAGCGCCGAGTCCCAACGCTTATGAGAAGGTACCTAAACCTAAGCCAAAGGCGGGTGAACCAAGCGGCAGCAAGCCCTAGCTGTATTTCGCTCGAGTAGAGGGCGTGTTGTAGTATACCATATTACGCGAAATGAACGATACAATAATATACTGGCGTTGCATGGCGGACGGGGAAAACAAAACAACTTCCTTTGGTTTGGTAGTAAACCTTTATCATGGCATTATAGAGCGAAGAGGCAGCATGGCTAAGAGTTTTGGTTGGTGTGTTTTTGGGGTATTCTTACCATTGAAAGCAATGGCTGGATTAATATTTAGACCTTCGATCTGGGTATCTTGCAGTGGTGAACTGGACGGTCTGCTTGCAGGAACTTCCCTGCGAATATCCCCATTATCCAGATCCTTCGTCCTCGTTCTTCTTATTACTCTGGACCACGAAGAAGCGACCGGCCTTCTTAGATGCCGTGCTCAGCGCATCCCAATTCTCAGCATCCGAGTCCAGCTTGGTTCTAACCCTACGAGACCGCTTGTAATGCCCAACTACTGCCTCTTCATCGAGTAACGTCTTTAAGGTGTCCAGGGATACTGTATTCTCCCGCGTGCCCTGCTCTGTCTCGTCGCGGATAGCCCGTAGCGGTTCAACTCCCGAGGTTTCCACCCGCTGCACCGCACGCACGAACCGGAGCTGGCTTTGCAGCGTCTCGATCATGGAATCCTCTTCGGCCTTGTCCCTGGGCGGCGGCAAGGCGGCCAGGCGGAGGAGGTGGTTGAGCTGTGTAGGCGAGATCTTCTCGCTGGGGCTGTCGGCCGAGCCAAGGTGTGAGCGGACTGACCATGAGGGCTTCGAGAGGATGGTGTGTGCGGTTGAAGGTGGATTGGTCGATGAGGCGCGCTTTGAAATGATTTGGCTTCTGAATGCCTGCCGTATGGCGGCTCGACAAGGTGCACATATGGACATTGTGGTGCTTGGTTAGCGTCACTGATCTTTTTGATCCCAATGCTGCTAGGAGTTCTAGTTTGCGTCTCGGTTGAAGAACTGGAAACCAAGTGTTTCTGCAGGTGGGCTGGCCTACCCTATACAAAGCATATTCACCTTCTTTGCAGTATATCAGCCACACCTCACAAGCTTTTAATCAAAAGTGTATGTTTTTATTGAACTTGGCTATAATTTTTCTGAGGCTTGGGTATTTGCATTGTATCTCTGTGATTCGTTGTTCAATATAATGATAATTGGAGCTTGTTTTAATTAGCGAGTAGATACTGTATGCTTGTAAGTGTATTTGCTGTTTCTGGGAAAGATGAGTAAATTGAACACAAACACGGCCCTAGTAGAGCACGGAAGTTGTTTGGCGCAGGAGATACCGTTCGCAATAGGAGCTAGATATCCCACGGGGTATTTCACATTGTAAATACAATACTACCTAAATATAGACTGGCTCTCCGTGAAGGACATGAAGCCTGTGACAAAGCCCCACATTGCCACAGCCTTGAGCAGTGTGGCGTAACGTGCTGGCGTCATACCCCATTGGCGGCAGCCTGCAAGTACCAGAGCTGATTGACATTCTGGCCAGCCAACCCCGTCCGATAGGATTCAAGTAATCGCTAGCCAACTACCAACGCGGCGAGCTGTCAACGACAAACCCAGGGAATCCATTGCCTTTACAAATAATATCGACGAGCCGCAAACATGTCGCAAGATCCTCGTGCCCTTCTCCAAAAGGTCAACCGCTGTCCAAAACCTCGCTGCCCCTCCCCCGCTAGAATAGCCATAGCTGACCTCTTATCTCACAGGCCCAGAAGCAGCTGCAAGATGCCGGCAAGGGCTTCAGCTTTTTCGGTGGTCGCGAGGAGAAGTACCAAAATGCCGCAGATGCCTTCGTCGAAGCCGCGAATGCCTTTAGAATGCAGAGCCAAAGTAAGCCGACGCCTGGACACAGCTGATGCTTCCTTCCCCTCACCCACATTGCCCGGGAGCCCAACCAAGAGGTTTGTGATGACGAGGCGATGTATGGCTGACAAGGATTGAACCGATAGGTATTGAGGCCGGAAAAGCATTCGAGCAGGCCGCCGAAGTTTTCATCAACAACCTGAACGAGCCCGACGACGCAGCAAATGTATACGCCGACGCTTTCAAGGCCTATCGCAAAGACGACCCGCAAGCCGCCATCCGCTGCCTGAACAAGGCTATCGATCGCTATTGCGCCAAGGGCAACTTCCGCCGTGCCGCCACCCACAAGGAAACCGTCGCCGAAATGTATGAGGAGCTGGGCGATGCTAAGAGTGCTCTTGCTGCTTATGAGGCAGCTGCAACTTGGTTCGAGGGAGACAATGCAAATGCGTAAGTGTGAAGCGCAAAGCTCCAACGACTGGAAGTCTAGAATTTTTTAGGGTGCTAACAATGTTTCAGCTTGGCAAACAAGCTCTGGCTCAAGCTGGCAGATTTGGCTGCTCGTGAAGAAGATTACTACAAGGCCATCGAGAACTACGAGAAGGTTGCGCAGCAATCCATCAACAACAACCTGATGAAGTACAGCGTGAAGGACTACTTCTTGAAGGCGGGAATTTGCCACCTCGCAACAAAGGATCTGGTCGCCGCTCAACAAGCCCTTGAGCGATACGCCGAAATGGACCCGTCGTTCACGCAGCAGAGGGAGTTTATGCTTCTCAAGGACCTCCTCGACGCTGTGGAGGCTAAGAGCCAGGATCAGTTCACAGACAAGTTATTCCAGTTTGACCAAATCAACAAGCTGGATAACTGGAAGACGACTCTTTTGGTTCGAGTGAAAAATTCGATTGAGGAACCTGATGACGAGTTTGCTTAGGTTTCAACTAATGGGCTGATCCTACGTGAGGTAAGCACGGGACGATGTCTGTATGGCATGAGGGAAGGACGCATTTTTATATTTATACGGGAGTTGACATTGGTTCTTTTCTTCTGTTGCGACATCATGATATACCTATGAAATATATGCCTGGCACCCAGGGAGTTGGAAACCAGCTTATTAGACAACGAATCCACTCCTCGCTGCAATGTTTCTGTAACAAGCGTGCATGGGTTCAAAATTTTACTTCTTGATGAGTGCCAGTTCATTCCGTTTACAAGGCTCACGGGGCAAATCTTGGAGGCCGGGCAAATGAAGGCTTAACATTCAGCGCTTGGCATGGAATCAACAGCCTCACATGAGACCAGTCTGCTTCCATCGAAATTGTTACTGAAGCCCATGCATGGTGAAACATGTTGTCTTGTGACTTCAGCATATGTCGACCACTAACAGAGAGCGTGGATACTAGATGGATATTTACGTGCATCTTAAGTCGGGGATTTTGTCAAACCGACGAAGGGATGCTGCTTATTGGATACCGTGGAAAATCGCATGTCAAACACAAGGGATGTAGGCAAAACTATGGTTTTCCTCAACCTCACCAGCACAGAGCCTTGGAAAAGAGGGGTGGAATATAGCGCCTCGAGCAGCCGACCGCAAAGCTCAAGCCATCAGAGATGACGAACTAGGCAATCGAAAGATCAGTCAATATTGGACCTGTCGATAAGATGGACACCATAGCAGGTTGGTGATTCTATAAGTTATCGAGCTGTACAGCAATCGACCCTGACGTAAAGCAGAGGACCGCTGCACACAGATCCGGTTTGTAGAGAAGAAAGAAAACAAAACAAAAATTTGCCTGCAAAGAAAGAAAGTTGTATAGGCTCCGGGTGGGTCTTGCACGTGATTCAGCGAGGCTGGGTGTGGGTCTTTTCTGCTGCCTGATCCGATAGCTTATCTGCACGGACAACAGCAATTTGCCGTCATTCTATCAACTACAGGGTCAACGCGATGGACGCCGCAACAATCGAGGAGACGAACCGCATCCGGGTCTCGCTGGGCCTGAAGCCCCTGCCGGTCCCGGGAGCAGAGGCACCATCTGCGACGGAAAGCAAGGACGGAGATGATGCTCCCAGCACTGTCGAATCGCGCCAGGCGCAAGCCTACGACAACTACAACAAGGCCATGGAGGCAGAGGCCGCGAAGAAGAAACGCGAAGAGAGGAACGCCGCCGTAAAAAAGGCACGAGAAACTGCTCAGCGACTGGCCAAGTTGGAAGGCAAAGGCTTGGGTGAGGAAGACGACAGAGGTGACCTCGACGCGAAATCTTGGTTGTTGGGACAGAAGAAGCGACAGAAGAAGATCGACAAGGTGCGGAAAATCGAGGAGGAGCTTGCAGCTGCCGAGGCTGAAGCAGCAGCGGCAGTGCAATACACACCAAAGGATCTTGCCGGGATCAAGATTGCCCACGATACATCTGCGCTCCTGGATGGTGGGGATCAAATTCTCACCTTGAAGGATACCACAATTGAAGAGAACGAGGAAGAGGGTGACCAGCTGGAGAATATCGATCTTCGGGACCAGGAGAAACTCTCGGAACGGCTTGACCTGAAAAAGAAGCGACCTGGATATAACCCGAATGAAGATGAAGATGGTGATACCGGCATCCTTGCGCAATACGACGAGGAAATTACGGGAAAGCAAGGAAAATCCTTCACTCTTGGAGAGAATGGAATGATAGGAGATATCGCTGATATTCTGGACCAGCCAGCACCAACAACCCTTGGTAAGCAAAGTGTTAGTTTGGATGACATTGTTGGCGACGGGCCTATATCCTCAGATTACCTCGCACCGTCGCAAATCAAAGTCAAGAAGCCAAAGAAGAAGAAGAACAAGTCGAGGCAGAAACAGATTGACAACGAGGATGATGTATTATTCAAGGAGCCTGTAGTCGCCGAGAATGATTCTATGGATATAGACGGAAGCGCACCCACGACCGGCAAGAAAAGGAAGCAGGAGATCGACATAATAGACGACGACGAAGACCTCCAGGCGTCTCTGGCAGCTCAAAGAAAACTCGCACTGAAGAAGCGCAAGAAGACTCGATTTGAAGATCTTGCTAAGCAGCTGAAGGAACAAGAGGACGATTCACTGCAAGACGACACCCAAAATGGGACAGGAATGGTCATTGGCGAAATTTCCGAGTTTGTTTCTGGGCTCACCAAGCATGAGGACGACGAGGAAGAGGAGGAGAGGAGGCAGAAGAGACGAAAGCAGGCTACAAAAACACCCGAAGCTACTGAAGATCAAGAGATGGAGGATGCTCCTGCCAAGTCGGTACAATTCGATGTCCCAGAGCCTGAAACCGTGGAGGACCAGGAGGATGGTACCGGAATTGGGGAAGAGAAGCACATTAGCGACGGAATGGGTGCTGCCCTTTCACTCCTCCGTGAACGTGGCCTAATTGAAGAAGCCAAAGGAGATGATCAAATCAAGCTTGAACGTCAACGTCAAGAATTTCTCTACGGAAAGGCAGTCTTGGAACGGGACTTTGAGGAGCAAGCCTTGAGGCAACGTGAGTACGACAGACAGCACGCCAAAATGGACAAGATGTCAACCAGAGAGAGGGAGGATTATGCACGACACCAGAACCAGCGGCGAGATCACCAACAAGCAAAGAAGATGGTGGACCTTTTCCAATCGACTTACAAACCCACCTTTGAGCTCAAATATACAGACGACCATGGCCGTGAGCTGAATCAGAAGGAGGCTTTCAAGCAGCTCAGTCACCAGTTCCACGGCAAGGGTAGCGGCAAGGAGAAGACGGAGAAACGACTGAAGAAGATTGCAGATGAGAAACGGCGTGAAGCTCAGAGCATGTTCGACGCTACGCAACAGGCAGGAATGAGCATGGCCACATCCCAACAGCTCAAGAAGCGCAAAGAAGCAGGAGTGCGACTCGGATAGCAGCAGTAAATTTACTTGGGAGTTTAGGATTTGCGGGTTTTGGGCAACGCATTGTGAAAAAGGTGCATTTCCCTTCATTTTACCATTCTTTTTAGATTTATTCCCTGCTAACAACGATTCCTGGTGGTTCAGATACCCCGGTTTGTACGAGCTTCTCTCTTGTCGTTCTGTTTTTTTGTCTCCTGCATTTGTGCCTCAAACCTTTCGCACCGTGACCACCTTGAGCGATATGAGATCTTTCCTCGGGGAACGAGTCCTCTAAAATGTGCCCCTTTTCTGTTCGATGAGATACCCACTTCCTTCTTATTTTACAATGTGATCATCACGTCAAAGACCAAGTGTATTTGCCCTGCCCCTTGCTTCCGAGAATCGAATTGTCATCAACACGGGGGTAGAGTAAACAATATCAGATTTGTAGCGTGAGCGAACATCTCTCGTGTAATTAACTCCGCCCCAATATGAAGGCGCAGTTTATGGTAGCCATCCACTTAGACATGTTCGGCGCTGATCGGTCTGTTGTTTCTCTGGTTGTCGTGGTTGATGTTGTGTTGGAGTGGTTACGCGTTGTGTGCAGGTGTTGGGTTTTTACAGCCGCGGGCGCGGTCGGCAGAATTCACTTGCCCTTGATGTTTGTGAAACCGCCATGAACCGTTGCCACGTCTAGGTCACGGCCTGGCGCTGGTCGCCTTGCACACGGCGGGGAACCAACAGCCAATGTAGAATGAGCACTCTTGAACACCCATCTGCCCAAGTACGTAGGTAGGTAGCGTACACTCGCCTGGCGCAGCAGCTCCTCGAGCTCGTCCCTGGTGACGGCCCGGCGCTCGAGTCGACGTTGCTCCCGCAAAGCAAAGCCGACGAAGCTCTCTACCTAGGGGGGTCCCCCTCGACAGTGTTCATGTTTGGAAAAGCCGTTCAGTTCATCAACTTCTTCATATGAAATGATGTGATGTATTCTTTGACTATACAATATACCTCCACATAGTATGTAGACAAATGTACAAATTCTTAAATGTGTGCTCTATATGAGGAAAAACACGATGCTGGTCCCTACCCCGTCCCAGAACGCCGTTAAACAAATATCTATAAGGAAACCTTGGCACCAAGACCATGACCGACGTATCGTACCTCCTCAACCCAATTCCCGATCCTCAGTGTCACATAGGCGATGGCGTCAAGCTTGAGCTGACCACCCACCACATCCCTGAGTTTGTCATAGCCTATGCTATCGGGCGACCAATTGACGGGGAGGCGGGGTGTTTGGGAAAGACCCGGTGGTATGGGAAAAGGTTTATCGTTGATAATCTGGCCAACTGGCTCTGTGTGATTGTAAAAAGCTGTAGCGTTGATGTGCTCTAAGTGAACAGTGTTCGCATGTAGAGGCGATGCAAGAGTGAATGAGGCTGTGGACGAGAACAGATGGAAGGTCGCCTCCCGGATAAATCCCAGACGGGACCCCCTATCTTCGTCTTCGTCATCATCTCCTGGAAGTTTCAAGCGCGGAGTAGGGACGGTAAAGTTGAGTTTGGAGAATGCGATGCCTAGCTCGGGCAACCCCGGGAAACTATCCTCATGGGTTGCCACTTCCAAGGTGGTATTCTCGCCAGATAGATAGTCGGAGAGTAGGCGTCGAGCGTTTTCATGAGATTCAGGACCCCCGAAGCTGAGAGGATCCCAAGTCGCATGGATGATATTTCCAGTATTGTTACCCAGTTTCAAAGAGATGTCCTTCGCCACAGCTTCTCCGATGACTTTGCCGTTGTTCAAGATACGGGCAGAGAAGTAGGGGATGGAGGCTGTGTATGGTGTAGGATTCGAAAAGTTGACACTCGCTTGCATATAAACCCCGGTGCTGGATGTATTTAGGATCTGTAGTTCATCTACTTGAGGTTCCAGGGCGTTTAAAGTGTCTGTAGGGAGACCTGAAAGAGCTGTTAGTCCCCATCTGCCATTGGCCTGTGAGACGACGATGAATACTTGTTCAAGTAAAGATTGTCGGCCGACGTCACAGGTTATTTCGTTAGTGAGGACGGACGTTTTACTGGAATCTGCCCCTGAGCTGGGACTCCCTTCACCGTCAAACTTCCAAGCACGGTGCCCACTTTGGCATCCACGGCGGCCTCGACATCAAGTATAATGTCCCTTCCGCCGAAAAGCATCTTTTGAAGAACATCCGAGAACACGGCGTCGTCAGTGATCTTGAGGGGGACGTCCTTGATTTGTGATGTGACTTTCAGTAATTCGTCGCCACCATCCTCAACTCTAGTAGACTTGGCTTCCTGCCACTGTCTTAAATTCAGCTCACCAAGTTTCTTCCCTTCGAAGAAAAGATCGGCATCAGACCGAAGAGCGTCAACCGCAATATCTAGACTCAGTTCTTCAGGGAGAAGAGCGAACACCTCGATATTGCCGGACACTTTGGGAGATGACTCAGGATCATTTGGGTCAGCAAATGGGCTAGGCAGCTGGAAGTCAACATCCGTAGCAGAAAAGTTTCGGATAATATTGCCGAAAGAGCGGCCGGGTAGGTCAATCGGCACGACCAGATTTTTCAAGAGATCCGATACCCAGGCAGGTAAATCAGAATCAACAATGGTCTTTCCTCGAACAAAGACCTCGGCGTCTTCGCCATTCAAATAGTGCTTCATGAACATGTCCAGGGGAGACGAGTTGCTCCGCGGACAGTTTCGCACCAGAGAGTCGGGGATCTGACCGATGACACCCAGGGCATTTGCAGTTACGTCGGCATCTGGCCGCACCTCGATGAGACTTGTGGCCGCTTCCGCCACCTCAATGTAAGGCTCGGATGCGTCGCAATTCGCCACGAGAATATCGAAACTAAGTGGTGGTACATCTGCGGCAATGGGATAATCGTTGTGCACGACGATGGAGACGTTCGCACCAACTGCCTTCCTGCCGCCAGGGCCTAGAGGGACATCATGGAAATTGAGACGCTCAATCTTATACTCGGGAATACTCGGAATCTTATTAGCTGCGAGGACATCAGTAAATGTTCTCGCCAAAAAAAAAAGCAGACAAGTGAAATCATTGCAAAATCATCTTCTCTCCAAAGTACAGGGACGCAAAAGAATTGTAGAGAGATTGACCTTCAAACACCAAGGTTTCGACAACACTGTGTGTTCCGAGTGGGATAAAGCCAGATTTGACGGTGATATCGGCAGCGCCAGTGAGCTTCAGCCATTCCAGTTTGCCCGTCAGCCAGTCGTTGGCGATTTGTCGGATATTCTCCGCATCGCCAGGGCTCAGATCCGTCACAAAATCCAACACCGTGGTATGACCATCCACAATATCTATGGTAAGAGCGGGCACAACCGCCCTTCCAAGAAGCGAGTTGTTGTAGTGAGGCAAGAAGACACTCAGGGTTGTCTCCTCTGTTTCCAGTTTTCGCATAACGCCAGTGGCAAGCCTGCCGATACGTCGAGCGTTGTCATCGCCTACTTTGGAACCATCCAGCCTGAAATTGGCCTGGATACGGGCCCTGACACCGTCAGAGGTGATGGACTCCACGGAAAGGCTTGTAGGCTCTACGACTGCAGCTTGCTCGGCGTACTGCTGGACGGCACCAGGCACGACGAACCCACCGATCAGGACTGCCACGACCAGTATGCCTAGTATGATTGAGGCGATGATGCTTGGCCATCGGAGCGACTGCTTGGAGCTCGAAGCAGCCTTCTTGTTTGGAGACGTCGTGGAGGGCTCGGCTTGCTGTCCATCTCCGGAGGTTTCTTGCTGTCCACCAAGGAGAGGGGTTGATTCAGATACATTTGAGTCCACTTGCTGATGGTTCTCAGATGAAAGGAGGGGGGATCTCTCGTCGGAAGCCATAATGGCGGGTCCGGAGGCAGGGCGCAAGTGGATGGCTTCTTATCTTAGTTTGCCGGTAGACATGGAACTAGGCGCAGGGAGAAAAAATGGTTGCGGCTGAACAGGCGGGTTTGGAAGAGAGTGAGTTCGCGATGATTCCCAGCCGCCTGTGGTGTGTTTCTCGGAAGATGGAGAGGCGAAACAAGGTGGGCGCAAGTTGCAAGGCACAAGTGATGATGACGATACGCGACCAGCGTGCAAGTGGCTTTGACCCTGATTGCCGGCCCATTCTGATTGGTCAGATGCACTGATATCCCTGCCTCCCGGATGTCGATGGAGAACCTCCAGCTTGAGTGGGTGGTACAAGGTACAAGTGACTTGGAAGTACCTGTACATCACCTAAATGGCCTCCACTAAAAGATTTCTTGGTGACCGCTGTCACTCGATATCGGCTTCATGCTTGCTCGCTTCGTGACTCAACGAATACTCATAATTCCAACCTCTCCGCAGCCGGGCAGATCCTTGGCTTTGTTGGATATCTGAATTGCCCTTTCTGCGTCTCCAATTGCAATTGCTGCTCTGCGTTCGACTAATTGGAAATTTTCAGGGCATATCAGACGAATCATCCAGCTCTCAAGATGAGGTCGAACGTTTTCCGAGCTGCCCAGGTAGCCTTCAAAGGCGTCCCCAAAAGGAATTACTCCCAGTCCTCAGGCCCAAGGCATCTGATGTCAATTGCCGATGTGTCTCCTGCTGAATTCGCTTCGTTGGTGCGTAACGCAGCAGCACGAAAGACTGCCGTGAAGAGCACTCAGCCGCCACTCTCTCTCACCACTGGCCTTGCCAACAAGACGGTGGCCATGATGTTCAGCAAGAGGAGCACTCGAACCCGTGTCTCTACAGAGGCTGCTGTAACCTTGATGGGTGGCAATCCCATGTTTTTGGGCAAGGACGACATCCAGTTAGGAGTGAGCTTACAGACTCATGACCGTCCAATCTGTTCGATACAGAAGCTAATCTCCATTTCAGGTCAACGAGTCGCTATATGACACTTCAGTAGTTATTTCTTCCATGACCTCTTGCATGGTCGCCCGTGTCGGACCTCATTCCGATGTCGCCAACCTGGCCAAACACTCCAGCGTTCCAGTCATCAACGCTCTGTCGGACGACTTCCATCCTCTTCAGACCATCGCTGACTTCCTCACCATCCACGAAGCTTTCCCAGCATCTCAAAGCGGCAAACTCGGCCTAGGCCTTGAGGGTCTCAAGGTTGCCTGGATTGGAGACTCCAACAACGTCCTCTTTGACCTTGCGATTGGCTGTGTGAAGATGGGAGTTGATATTTCCGTCGCTTCACCCAACGGCTACGGTATCCCGCAGAGCATGAAGGATCTCATCAACTCGGCTGCCCAGGGCGTGTCCTCCCCCGGAAAGCTTCTGGAGACCAATGTACCAGAGGAGGCCATCAAGAATGCCGACATCCTCGTCACCGACACATGGATCTCCATGGGGCAGGAGAGTGAGAAGAAGAAGCGCCTGGACGCCTTCGCTGGGTACCAGATCACCAACGAGCTCGCAAAGCGGGGTGGTGCCAAGGAGGGCTGGAAATTCATGCACTGCCTGCCGAGGCACCCCGAGGAGGTAGCAGACGAGGTCTTCTACAGCCCTCGATCCTTGGTGTTCCCCGAGGCGGAGAATCGCCTGTGGGCTGCTGTCTGTGAGTCAATGTCTCTGATCCACCGTTACATGATGTCAATTGCTGATGCGACTCTAGCTGCCCTGGAAGGATTCGTTGTTAACAAGGGCCGACTTTGAAGGATATTTACTCATTCATGATATTATGGCTTGGAAGTAACGGTAGTTCCACTGCAGCTACGAGTGTAAAAAAAAGTTCAGTATGACAAGGTGCAAAAAGGAGATGCTTTAATATCACAATTTTTAGTTCCATTTAGGGTTGTATATATAAACAAGCTAAACCCGAACCCATCGCGCAACGCCTTTTCCAACATCTAACCAGGAGGAAGCTGGCTGGCGTCGACAACGTCGTCGGCTTCCTTGATAATTGGCTCCTCGTTGGGGCCGTGCAGGGGGGATCTTGGCAGGGCCATCAGTCCAGTCCGGGCAGATTCGAGGATACCGAAAGGCGCGATAAGCTTCAGGAATGAATCAATCCTTGTCTGCTTTGCGGAACTGTGTGGGGGGTTAGTATTGTATCCCAAGCAAATTTTTTTTGGGGCCACTTACACCTCGACAATGCAGCTTGTGTTGCTGATGTCAAGAACCTTGCCTCCGAACTGATGGGTGAAGTAGGTAATGGTCTTGAGATGCTCATGCTTGTGTCTCAAGGCTTCACTGGCAGCGAGCTTGCTGGGATGGAAATCCTTGGCGAGATGTTCCAAAGACTGAGCCTGGAACTCTTCGCCGCCCTCAACGGATGGTGAGCCAGCAGTAATCTCCCTGTGGTGCTCGAGGAGCTCCTCGAAGTACTCAGGGCCCAGAATGTTGATCTTGGCGAGAAGGAGCTCACGCTGGACAAGGGCGGCATGGGTGTAGTCCAAAACAGCCCAGACGGGGACGAGATCCTCGAGTTGGCGGCGGGCCTGCTCAACGACACCATCGTGGCCATTAAGGACGATGGTCATGCGGGACAGGTCCTTCACCTCGGTGCTGCAGACCACAAGCGACTCAATGTTGAAGCCACGGGCGGCAATGATGCCTGAGAGCCGGGACAGCACGCCAGGTTCGTTCTGGACAAGGCAATTGAGGATGTGTCGCTTCGGGGGTCCAGCCTCCGGTGCCGGCGTCTCGTAGAGGATGTTGGAGACGGCAGCCTGAACGGACCAGGAGGGGGGGGTGTTGGAGATGGGGAGGGGGGCCGAGCGACGTCGCATAGCCTTGTAGGCGATGGCAGAGGTCGAGCTGCTGGACGAGTGTCTCATGCCATTGAGAGAGGCGGCGGTGCGAGCTGCGGCAGCCCATCGAGAGGCCCCAGCCACTGGTCGGAGAGACATCATCTTGCAATTGAGTCAGCGAGAACCAAAGGGCCCTGAGGCTGAAGGGGCAAGATGAGAAGGAGCACAGGAAGCTGCCCTGAGATCCAAGACAATGAATCAAGAGCAACCTTGTGACTAGATAAATAGCCAAAATCGGAGCGAGGCCGTCAAAGAATGACTGTGGGAAAATGTCGGAGGCTGATCGGAGGGCCGCTTACCCCACATTCTTGGAGCCTCAGGCGCAGAACGGATCCACTGGCGATGCCCCGCTGCTTCCAATGACACTGGCCATGATGCTTGCTTACTTGCTTGGCGGTTGATGCTCAGCTGGAGGTGCATCTTTACTACTGACTCATCTGCCCTGGATGGCCAGTCGGAGTAAGCAGGACGAGAACCTCCTCGTCTGCTGCATCGGGACTGGAGAGTGTGCCAGGCTACGCTAATGCTTGTGAAACAGCATCATTTGTGAAAAGATATGGCCATTCATGCATGTCGATTTCTGGGTTATTGTGATAGTTATATGAGGAAGAGACTGATATGTTGGAAATATATACTTGTTTCTGTGTTGTAAGGATGGATCATAATGCCCCCAGCTTACCTGGGATGTAAATGCCCATTCCCTGTAGCAGCTCAGGCTGCATATACGGCACATCATTTTCTGGCTGGAACGCATCACGCTCTATGCCGATGCCGTCGTCCCTGTATACTCTATACCGAGGTAGCTCGCCCACATCGCCCTCATCGCTGAAGGGATTGACACCACTGCCATACAAGTATTGATTCACGTCTTTACTCACGTCCACATACATGCCAGGCTTGAGGGGGTCCATCTCTAGATAGAGCGTTAGCTCTGGGCGCACGCCTGGTGGTTGATGGACCCAGTCGAGCTCTTGTTTGATGTCGTACAGAAGGTCTCCGTACCTACCTCCATGAGGGAGGAAGAACAGATAGCTCAGCTCAACAGAGCGGATGGTGCTTGGTAGCGCAGAGAGGAGCGCCAAGAGGTCCTGCTGTATGACGATAAAACGTGACAATCCAAAGTGCCGGAGCCGTGGCCACTGCTTGACTGGGAATATGGACAGGAGCGGGGTGAAATGCTCCCTGCCCCCTTCAGGGGTATCTGGAATCAAATAGAGATCCTCCGGGGGGGTCAAATCCGTCGAGAGACTGACGTGTTGAAGGCCCACTGCCTTGCCTAGGGCTGCTCGTAGACAACTGGCTCCGTTGGGATGCCAGTTACGAATTCCTCCACGTCCAAACCAGAGAGGCAGGTCGATCCGAGAGAAGCCAGGAGACGACAGCAAAGCGAGCAAGGATTTGTATCCGTATGTGTCTCCGGGCTTGCTGATCACCTGCGAGGTGATGCCCGTCCGTAGCTGGTTGTTCTCGACCACGAATTCGACGATGTTGTGTGTATCCTGGGCGAGCTCGCGCACAATCTTGCGAAAACCACGCGACCTCTGCGCCTCGTACAATTCGCGGAAATCATCGCTCGTACCGAATACAGACCTACGAAAGGGGATGGGGTAGATGAGGCCGTAGGGCAGGCTGCGGATGAGCGGTGTCTCGTACCGCGGCTTGAAGGGTAGACCGTGGGCAAAGGGGGTGATGGTGATGCGTCGTAGGTTCGTGAAGCGCCAGAGCCCCTCGCGCAGCGCCTCAACGTCACGAGGACGTTCCGTCCGGTGGCCTTGCCGCTGCTGCTTCATGACCTCCTTGATACACTGGTAGGACTCCTGGGCCGTCATCCGCGCTCTCAGCTGCTTTGCGATCTGGACGTCGATGGGACGCTCGATGAAGAGGCCTTTGTACTGTCTGATCATCTGTAGGGAGCTCTTGTACGCGCGTTCAAACGAATCGAAGAAATCCTTGTCCATGTCGCCGCCGAGTTCGGGCTCGATGAAGGGCGCGTCATCATAGATTATCTCGGTGATCTTCTGGCTCAAGGCATCGTGCTTCGCTACGGCCAGGAAGACGTCAACATCGCGCGGATGGGTCGAGAGGAAGACCCGATGGAACCGCAAAGGGGCCACTTCTCTCATGTACGAGCTCGTCAAGCGTAGGTTTTTGATGTCGCGGTTTGGCATATGGGCGACGATGCATTGAAGCAGCTCTAGGGGAAGTAGAGAGAGAGGGCATTGGTCGCAGAATCCATGACGGCAGAGAGGCAAAGTCCGCAGCTATCTCGGTTGATTTGTTGCGCGTAGGAACAGTGATGTCTGGCAGTGGAGGAGATGAAGCCCGGTGCCAGTCCATTGAAGGCTGAATATATATACCCCTAGGTATATATATAGGTAGCATGTATGAACCAGGTAAGATGGCTGCACCATAGCCCAACGAAGTAAATGATGAATTTGAGGGCCAGGCTCTATGCAGAGCAACCCCGAAGTCCCTATTCTTACCTGCAGTCAATGTGAAGCATGCCTGGGCATGAATTAGCTCTTCGATTGCGTCGCCGGTATGCAGTATTGTCCTCCGACATGATGCTAATCAATACAAAGACGGCCATGTTCAATTGTTACTACCTGGTAAGGTAGGTAGTTTGAGATAGCAGATATCTATATATCACCAAGGATTGAACCAGAGACAGTCTCAGGCACCATAAATCCGACCTCGATCCCTGTGCCTCGGCGTTGGTACAGGTACATCCATCCATCGGTTCGTGGAGTTCGGTACGTACCGAGTCCACATCGCGCCAATGTGCCTGCACTCACCAATCACTCACCAATCCCTCACCTTCGCAGTTTAGTTTAGGCTGTGCCTAGACCAAGACGATCCTGGGGATTTTTCAACCTGCATCTCCACCAAACCTCAAGCGCAGTTCCTTCAACGCCAATCCACCAACATCACGAGCGCGCCTCGGAACCACACAACATCTTGCCACCGCAACCGAGTTTTCCAGTTCACTTTGAAACACCGTGATACTCGCCGCCACGAGGCACCGCTGAGATGGACGAACCAGAGCGCCCCCCGGTTAAACGATCCCGTTTCGATCAGACAGAACCAGAGCCGAAGAAGTCTCGATTTGACCGTCGTTCTCGATCGCCACCCTCCCGGCGGGCTGAGGGTAGAGACCGCAGCCCTCTCTCGCGAGATGGTGGCTCTGAACCGAAGAAGCCCGCCGGCGATGCAGCTGCTGCAGCAGGTATGACAGCACAATCCTTCATCTTCGTGTTTGACTAATCTGACTCCGTCCTAGCCGCTGCCGCAGCCAGAATCAACGCCCAGCTCCAGGCCAAGAAGGGCATCCAACATGTCGACGTCCCACCTATCCGATCAGAAGGCTCGCCAGCGGCCCAGCCGACAACATCCTCCAGCAGCGCTTCTAACCCTGCACCTGTGTTGAATGGCGATATGTATGTCGCAGACGGCGACTATATTCAGGACATCGAAGTCAACGACTTGAGAAACCGATACCTAGTGACCAAGGGGTCCACGCAGAAAATGGTAAATATTTTGATATCCCACTGATTATCCCAGCTCATACATCCGCCTGGCCGGGTATATGTCGAAGAGTCTCAAGCTTACCAGCGCGATAGCTCGCGACCAAGCCCCCTTCTCTGCTCCTGCTGACTCCCGCTTGAACTAGATTAAAGATGACACCGGCGCTGGTACGCTATATACTCCTCAATTACTCTCTAATGTACGAGCTATTGTTGACTTTTCAAGACGTTACGACTCGAGGTAGCTACTACCCGAACAAGGCTATGGCCACCGCAGCGGTATGTTTCCCAATTTTGAGTGCACTTCCTTTACCACTCTGCTGACCAATATAGAACCCTCCGCTGTATCTTCACATTACAAGCACCTCCAAGGAAGGCCTGGAGTTGGCTGTCCAAAAGGTCAAAGAACTTATCCAGCAGGACCTCCCACAGCTCGTGGATGATCGTCGTCTCCGTCGTAGGGACCAGGAACCAGTCGAGAAAGATGAGTTTGGTCGCGTGGGTGGCTTCTAATTAACTTGGCTTGGATTTGGAACTATGATGCTGACAGTGTAGAAGCGAAAATGGAGAGTTGAAAAGGTGCCTATTGATCTCGAACCGATCCCTGGGTTCAATTTGCGTGCCCAGGTGGTCGGACATGGCGGCGCTTATGTCAAGCACATCCAGCAGGAAACAAGCTGTCGAGTTCAGATAAAGGGCCGTGGCTCGGGGTATCTCGAGGCCGCTACTAACAAGGAAAGCGATGAGGAGATGTACCTTAACGTAACGTACGGCTTTCATCCTTTCTCGCTAAGATCAAGCTTCCGCTAATTTGCTGCTACAGTGGCCCAGACTCCAATATGATTGACAGGGCAAAGGAGCTTTGCGAGGACTTGATTGCCAATGTTAAAGAGCAGTATGAAGAGTACAAGACCCGTCCACCTCGTCACCACGGAGGTCATGGTGAGCATAGAGAGCACAGGGGTCATGGCGGCCATGGAGGGCACGGTGGCCACGGAGGCTATGGCGGCCATCATGGTGGTCATGGAAGCGGTTATGGGGACCAGAATCGCGGCTCCTCTAACAGCGGACAATATGGATATGGTCGATATGGTTCAGAAACTGCTACATCCAACAGCCCGACAGCTCCTGGCGTAACCAGCGCCACTACTGCAACCGACTACGCTGCCCAGTATGCGCAATATTACGGTGGCCAAGACCCCTACGCCGCTTGGGGAGGCTATCAGAAGTAAGCCCTTGGAAGTCTTCCACGAAGTCACCTATTTACTAACGGTATATAGCTATGTTGCCTTGTACCAGCAATACTATGGTGCCCAAGGGCAGGCCTCAGCTCAGGCACCTGGGCAAGCTGCTCCCGGAGCCCCTGGGCAGTCAACCTCACCTCCTCCCCCACCGAGCGAATCCGCTCCTCCACCACCTCCTCCCAGTTCGGCACCACCACCACCTCCACCTTCAGGGTCACCAGGTGGTCATTTCAGCGCAGTACCGCCTCCCCCTGGACTCTGAGTTCCTTGATCCAACCACGGCTCAGCCGATTATGGTTGCCGATTGAGGTTTTGGATGTCACGAGGATAGTTGATGGTGTCAGGCGACAATGGATAAAGTTGCACAGACTCTTGCTTTAACTGCGAGTGGGGAGAGTTTCGTTTTCCAGTAGCCATTCTGGATTCTGTTTAATTCTGAGCGTTGCTGATGAATACCTACTGGTGAAATCCCTGATCATGGAAAAGACAATCCTAACTAGGTAGTTAACAGCATTCGAATTCAAGGCTAACCAATAGCTTCGCTCTGCTATCCCCCTTTTTTAACCCATTTCAATCTCGGTAGACTATTAATTGAAGTAAGTCTACTCTAGCTAGACATTGGCAAACGTGATATGTAGATTGGTCAAAACACGCATACGTACGTAGCTTGTTCATATGTCTACGGCTGGCTGATTCGTCCCTTGTAATAGGATCAACGAAGCTGGCATGTGTCTGAAGTAAATCACGGCCCTCCGAACGCCGGACGCTCTTAGCTTGTGTCATGTAGGTAAGTTATGGGCTCCCTTTTGAACAGCAAGACTTGAGGAAGACAGAGCACATAAAAGCAGCAAGAGAACCTAGTTTCAAAGAAAACTACGACTGCATATAGTCTAAACTGGAACTAGAGACAGAATCAGGTTTGTAAATATTATCATGATAATTATACATTACGCTATTATCTTTCAAGCAAGATCTTTGAGGACGGAGGGGAGTTGTGTAAGCCTCCAAGTTCATGTAGAGACAGGTACCTATACGTGTGACTGTAGTGCCCGCCCTAAAAGCGGCACGGCCCAGGGCTGGCTCCCAAAGCGGACCCAAAAGCTATTGATTGACGTACCTGCAGCCAAGGTTGCATCCTCCATCTCCCGCCGACGGGAGATGTAGACAACCAGCAATCTGATCGAGGCCATGAAACTGCGAATATGAGCCACCAAAGATACCCATCCCACGATGCCGTGAAGGAGCCTCACGCAATCTCTCTCAAGGTCCTGCGGTACGCACCTGAACCCCCCTTCCCCCCAACCGGCAGATCCAGCACAGATATACCTAACCCAGCCATCTCGCGCCTTAGTCTCTCCCGCCCATCCCTCGTCCCCCAGTACCCGTTCGAATCGCCAGAGTCACTGTCCACGGCCGGCAGCGCCACCTCCAAGCCCTCGATCTCGCCGGCCTCCCTCGCCTACAGCTCGCACAGGGCCCGCGGCGAGACCAACTCGGACCCCTTCCTCCTCAGCCCCATCGTCAACCTCCCCGTGAGCTTCGGCTCCGCCTACGTCGGGGAGACCTTCAGCTGCACGCTGTGCGCCAACAACGACCTCCCCGACGGCTCGGGCAAGAGCACCCGCGACGTGCGCATCGACGCGGAGATGAAGACCCCCGCGGGCATGCGGGCGCAGAAGCTCGAGCTGTCCGGGGCGGCGACGGGGCCCGTGGACCTGGCCGAGGGCGAGACGCTGCAGGGGGTGGTGACGTTCGACCTCAAGGAGGAGGGGAACCACGTGCTGGCGGTGACGGTGAGCTACTACGAGGCGTCGGACACGAGCGGGCGCACGAGGACGTTCAGGAAGCTGTACCAGTTCATATGCAAGCCGTCGCTGATCGTGCGGACCAAGGTGAGCCCGCTGCCGGGTATGGGCGTCAAGGCGGCCGCCGCGGGCGGCGAGGAGAGGAGCAGATGGGTCCTGGAGGCGCAGCTGGAGAACTGCAGCGACGAGGTGATGCAGCTCGAGAAGGTGGCCATGGAGTGCGAGGCCGAGCTGGCGTACCGGGACTGCAACTGGAAGGTGAGCGGGAGCACGAAGCCGGTGCTGCATCCCGGGGAGACGGAGCAGCTGTGCTTTGTTGTCAACGAGAAGGAGGACGGCAGCCGGGTCAAGCCTACGAGGGATGGGAGGATCATCTTTGGAGTGCTGGGGATCGGCTGGAGGGGGGAGATGGGCAACCGAGGGTTCCTGTCAACGGGCAAGCTCGCGGCAAAGGCACAAGCCGAAGTATGATTGCCGGCCGTCCAATGGATGCTACGACATGTGTACGAATATCACCAGCAGAGGAGACGTGGTATGCTACGAATCAAGCTCTGGGAGGGCATTTCCAGACATGGACGACTAATGATGATGCTTGATTTCTGGGGAATCGGGAAATCGAAAATACATATCACGTCGATTGAGAGTTAGAATGGCCAACTTGAGGGCATGTACATGCTGGCGATCTGAATACAACAGGAACCTGCGGCTCTGTTGGTTGGAGTCGCCCGGATCTCGCAACGTCGTCGAGTTGCGTGATTCCATGTTGTATCGGACCGGGGAGCGTCCCGTTATCCGATGGACTGGCGTATTCAGCCGCGCATGCCAGATGGCTCAGCAGACCTGATACATGCAGGCACAGAGACAATAATATCTTGTAAGCAAGTGGCATTGGATATGGTGAGAGGGAAGCCAACCAACTCTTGGGGATACGAGCAGACCTGGTAGTTCTTCACATATACACAAGAGTACCTACCTATGGTATATCCCCACGTACCTCCGGGTTCAGACAATAGGTACAAAGGCGAACCCGTATACACGTATGGTAACACGCGTTAATGCCCTTGTTTTCGAGGGGCCCTGCCTCGGACCAGTCGCTCCTCCACCCACCACCTGCATGTTGGGTTACCTGGGTCGACATCATGCATGCCATACGAGGCCCGTCCCAGCCGTGTAAGTGGGTGGGATTAAACATGGCACACCAGAACACCACGTTCAGCCTAATATGTAAGCCATGGGCCGGCTGTTCAGCGACTGGCAAGAGCAATAACAAAGCAGGCACCCAAACGCTATACTGGACATTGCCGTAAGATTTCCCTACTCGTTGTGTTAATAATTCAGATATTATGTCAAGATACGAAGAGGGAGGTCTTGGCGTGCCATCTTATCTCACCCGCTTGCCGTGTAGACGACGTGGGATGGCTGTGGCTTGATCGAAGTTTACCAACATGCTCCCTCCCACGGAGATGAACATGGCATCTACCCCTTTCTTGGGCTCTTCTCTTACTCTCCCACACTCATCCCTTTCCGATGTTCCTACCACACTCTTTCTTCTTCTCCTTTGCCAATTTGGTATCTGACTGTGGAAAGGGGCTCGGACAATTTTCATGCCATAATACAGGTAGGTCTATCAGATAGGTGGGTAGCTTTGATAGGTGCTATCTATGCAAGGTACGCATGGAGACTAAGATGGTGGTTAAGCCTTTTCTATTTTCGGCCTCGCGCACATCTCGACACACACAGAGACGGTTGGCCTGGCCGGCGAGGGCAGCCGGGAGGCAGGAGTCTGATACTGGCTTGGCACTCCCGGTACCCAGGTGGTTGGCAGCCGAGAGTTCGTTTCCCCGACCTACCCTTCCACAACTAATGGTGGAGTCGATGGGTTCTGAAACTCGCGGGCCTCCTGGGTGTGCTAGTCCGGTGGGGGAGGGTAGGACCGTCGTAATCACTCAATTGCGCAGTTGATTCGCTCTCCACTGGTTCCCATCCAGAGGCTTTTTAATTCCTTAAACGAGGGAGGAGGGGGCCCTGGAGGTGACATGTCAAGTATACTATCCGGTGGCATGCAAGGGTCTCATCGTTGGGGAAGCAGCTATTCCGAAGTGGGAGTAGAGGTTCGCAGAAACAGGGCCGAGGGGAACAATTCCACATGCGGAAAACATTTCTGCCTTTGGGTCTGCTCTGAGAAGGTGCTGAGAGAGTAGGGCTGATGTCATCCTCAGCTCAAGCCCTGGATCAATACGGCAACCTGGGCACAGACTCCAACTCCATATCCAGCTCCATCTCCATATCCAGAGCAATCCTGTGAGCTCAGGGTCGGGGTCTACTCGTACTAATGGATGCCAAGCCGTGGACGATGGCAAGGATGGCTGGCGCGCCCATCCGCCCGTGGCCGAAATCCTACAACACCAATGCCAGTACCTGAGCATGGAACACACGACGGCCGGCATTCACTTGCTACTTCCAGCAAGCGCCTCAGGAGAGGGTGGCAAGCGGGCTTATTGAATGGTCCAGTGGCAGAGGTGGTTCCCGTCTTGCAGTCTTGTTCCCAGCATTAATAATGCTCACCAGGGGGTGATCGATGGGGATCTTGGTGAGGACACAGGGGAGACCGTCACACAACCCGAAGCCCCCAAGTTGCAACGCCGGCTGGGACATGCAAGTTCCCGGTAGGTGGCAGGACACCTGGCTGCAATAGGAAATCCATTTTCTTGTTGCTGATTTTTTTTTGGGCCTCTCTTCACAGGCAACCAGCCGCGACTTTTAAGTAGTGACTGCTTGGCTGGCTGCCGTGCATGTCCAACCTCAAACCAACCGGTGCTTACTTGCGTCTGTCGTGTCTGGGATATGTAGAGCAGCGTAGACAATCCACTTAAATACGCGCACGTCCATCTACCGAACGGGGTGCGCCAATACCCTGGCAATGGGCAGCTGGTCAGTATGTAGAACCCGTGGCAGGTAAGGGTTGACTTGATCGAAGAGTAAGCCGATGCGGCGACAGCATCCTCTCCGGGGCGAAGTCTGTGCTGTGCGCGCTAGATCAACTCACTAATCTGCATCCGTGCTCGAGATGGTGGATGCGACGCAGGCGAATGGCTTACTGTAACCTGCCAGGTACAAGCTGCAGGTGTGTGGCGCTGCATGCTGCATCTGGCCATGTTGGACCTGCTCCCTATAGCCAAAAGTCCTAAGAACCAGAGTTGGACGGGGTATTCACGGACGAGCCAGGGATGGTTTACGTACGAACGGATGAGTTTCGATCCTGCATACACCGACACCCATCATCGTGATGCCGTGGGAGGAGCCGCACGCTGTAGGCGCGATGATGGAGCAAGCACATGGGCGACCTCAAGGGACAGGCACAGGCATGATAAAGCCAAGGCGTGTTCTCATGACAGCGCAGCGTCGGACTTCCTCCTCCTCGATATGCCGACATAAGCATGCGTTCGTTGGATTCCCGTTCTGTGCCGCCGTGGCTGCCAGGCACGTGCCGTCGCCACCGATGCAAGCCCGCATTTAGCAGACACCGATCTCATTGATGGGCTGCAGATGCATGTAGTAATATTCTGGCTGGTCTTTGCCCAAGGTACTGTTTCCCAGCATCGCGTCGGGCAGAGATAACGATTCCGGTAAGGTCGCCTCGAAAACCACACAATGTTAGCTTATGTACATACTTGGGCAAGGTCCTAGTGGGGTTGATGGAGGGGAAAAGGAGCCAGTTCCTTTCAGTCTAAACGCTCTCGCTGGTAACTCATTTGCGTCAACGCCGGGCGTCTCATCACATACCTTAACTGAAAATCAAGCCCTGTGGCGCGACTCCCACCAGGTGCTAAGTGGTCGAAATCGATGGCTTGTCCTACAAACTTCCCGTAGGATTGGCAAAGTGGTTGAGCAGCCATTCCAGTCTCTCGCTGCGCTTGGGTACCTGTCGGGCCTGGGCAAGTCAAGGTTTATCGCCAATCACAAATCCCGCCGAGACGCATGTCTTAAATGGAAAATTTGTGCCTGAACGGATATGTATATATATAGAACCCGTTCGTCTCCTCGTGCTATTGAATCAGCCGGCTCTGGAAAAAGAAAGAAGAGCACTAGTAGGGCTGATAGCGGTAGCGGGTGGCAGCAACCGTCTCGTACATTAGCTGATGCATCTCCCCTGAAAGATGTTGAAGCCGTTAGATATGGCCTTATTAGCAGCTTCAGGCTTGCTACTCCTCTAAGGTAGGAGCGACGGCCTTCTGCGCCCATAACGTAGGTAGGTACCTATGTGCTACCTACTAGCACAACATAACCTTTCTCGTTGGGCACACGCAGCAGGTACAGGTCCGCTAGAGTCCTCGCACCTACCTGACCTACCTTAGCCTTGGGAGCCCCTCCACCTGTTGCGCGTACGTACATATTAGGTGCTACCTGGATACCCTAGGTACATCCAACAGTGCTCTGTTCTGCTCTTCTATCCCATCCTGCCTGTCTCTCGCCCTGGTACGTACTGCGTGCTCTCTCATCCACGGTGCTGCACACCCAGAGCCCAAGACGCCTCATGCCACTTCGTATCCTGTCCTGCGTCCCTGTGCCTGACTTGTCGGTGTCGGCTCCTTCTGACTGAACCCCTGTCCCTACAGGTAGCCGCAAGCGCGTTGGCCGGAGTTAAAAACTAACCTAGGTAGGCACGATACGATAGCAGTCCCTGCCCAAGCTAGCCTGCATCTATCTGCGGTGGTGTGTCTACCAGTGAAGTACCCCCCGTTTTCCCCTGCCTCCGTGCAGCAGGCCCAGCGACCGAACCGCAACCCCCTCAGCGCCCCCGTAAAAACGTCGCCCACACCCGATAAAAGTTGGGATAACTCCTCCTCGACAACCCAAGAAATTTATCCAGCCGGACTTCGGTTGCGGCTCGCTCAATTGACATGTCATGGAGGGCTCGTCGACCCCGTTGGCCGACTACTTCTGGATCGCCGGCGTAGAGTCCGTTGCCTACGAGGATGCCCCGCAGGCCAACCAGCTCGAACTCTCGCACCAGGTCGAGTCTACCATTGCCGAAGATGGTGAGCCTGGTTTCGACTCTCCAAGCCCCGTCACCCCCCAGTCGAACCGTATCAGTGTGCGCCATTCGCGCCATGGTTCTATGAGCCGGTATTCCAAGGTTTCTTTCGACAACGGCTTCTCGCTCACCACCGTCGACGACCTCGATAACGGCAACACCTCCAGCAACCGGAGCAGCGCTACCATACGCCCCGTCAGTACTATAAACGGTCCCAATGGCCTAGTTGTCGAGAACAGCAGGACCGGCAGTTCAGGCGGCGCCAGCGCCACCGGCACCGTGTCTGCGGAGGGAACAAGCAGCGGCAACGAGCTGCTCGTCCCGGGTGGCAGCATGCGGGACTTCGATTTCGACAAGGCCCTGCTCAAGTTCGCCGCGGAGAGGGAGGACTTCTTGGAGGATTTGACATTCAGCGCCGGAGCCAAAGTCCAAGCCAGACCACCCATGATCAATCCGCGAGCAGAGCGAATTCGCGCCGACGACGCTGATTCCAGCGGGAGAATGAGTCCTCTGAAAAGCATCAAGGGGAGCATACGTCGGAGGATAAGCTTTCGCGATATGAACAGTATGCGGAGGCAACCCAGCACCGCCCGAACTAGCGGCGCAAGCAGAGCCGGTTTGTCCACCCGGGCCCAATACCTTCCCTACATTCACTATCCGCTCAAGTGCTGACCATGAACCCAACTAGCCTCTGTTCGGACCACAAGGCGAATGAGCAATTATAATTCGGTGATCCCACCCCCGGAGCCTTTGAATACCGATCCCGATATGCACCCTCTCAAAAGACAGTTCGAGCCAGTCCTGCTCGACCGATACCCACCCAAAGATGCGACGGAAGATCTCTCTAAGAGAGGGAAATTCCCAGACTATGTCCCCATGTTCGCATTCCCCAACGATATTCAGATTGTATCTTCAGACGATAGACCGCGGTCAACATGGCACGGCTTTACGATGACGTCGGAGGATAATTCTAAGCTCTATGGACTCACGATTATTATCTGGACAGCACTAAGTGCCAATGCGGCCGAAGGTGTTGAGCGGAAATGCGAGCAGTGGCGGCAAAGCCACATGTCGAATGAGGAACGGGAGCTGGCGGCAAGTCTAGGAGTGCGCCTGGCCGGTGAGCGGTCTCACTTGTCGCATCTTCTTACGAAGCTGCCAACTATACCCTCTGGCTCGCCAGCAAGAGACCGACTTGAGGATGAGATTAGCACCGTGGAGGAGAAGATCACTCTGATGACAGATATGCTGCGGCCCTTGAGACATGGGGCCGCTTCAAAAATCGAGGGCCTAACAGCGGGTGAGAGTGGTCTGTGGGTGCCAAGAGCCTATGGTATTCTTGGCAGAGACGCCGCCAACATCAATTTCTGGAAAGAATGGCTGAAGGCGATTGTTGTCCCCATGACCGACGGTGGCATCCTCCGAGTACCCCCTAGTTCCCCTCGGGTTGGGCGGTGGCAGCCCCTCGAGCGATATGTTGTCAATCTTTGCACAGAGGCCTTCAGCCCCTTGGAATCTAAGACCCAGGTTGAACTTTGTGTTCGGGAGCTGAGACTATACGCCCGCAAGGAAGCCTCGAACGAACTGCCAGGTTCGAGGACGGTGGACTTGTACGCCCTTTTCCGCTGCTTATCCCTGGAAAACGTGATGGCGTTATTCGAATATGCCATGTCAGAATCACGTATCATATTCCTCTCCTCGCATACTAGTATGCTCCACCTAGCTTGCCATGCGCTCGCCAACTTACTCTATCCCTTCAAGTGGGCAAGCGTTTTCATTCCTATATTACCTGCACGCCTTATTTCAGCTTTAGAAGCACCGTGCCCATATATTGTTGGGATTGAGCGACGCTATGATCACATCGAACTTCCCGAGGACGACTACGTCCTAGTAGACTTGGATAAAGACACGATTGACGCTACTTCTCAACCGTTTAGACTGCCCCGGCAAATTAGAAGAAAACTCCATGCTCTGTTGCAGGTAGCAGCGCCACACAAGCTCCGGTATGGCGTCACCACAGGGCCCCCTCCTTACGCCATGGAATCCTTCCCATACGACGCCTTCTCGAGCGAGTGCGCCTCGCTCTTCGTTCCCAAACCCCCGGTCGGCACACTGGGCAAGTGGGTATCCCAGAGTTCGACAAGCTTTGGTGAGCCGGATCCCCCCAGCGAGGTTCATCCTCCTGTCTTCAATGCGTTTGCAATCGCCCCAACAGACCAGGCAAAGTCAGACAGGCCTGGCACAAGCAAATCCAACAAGACCAGCCCGCCATCCTCTGAATCTCCAGTTTCGATGCACTTCCCTCCGTTGCCGCCAGCTCCCGTTTCCAGAAGCGACTCCGGGTTTGCCTTGACTGCGACACTGAGAGAAAAGCGATCGGGTCATTTCAGGGAAGGTTCAGGAAGGCGTAGCTCGTCATTTGGCATGGCCGGCAAAGATGGAGGTCCTGGCCGGCCCAACATGCCCTTCCTCAACGGTCACCAAGCAAACACATCCATCTCGGCGATTTCCGTCGATTCGCTCGGGTCTTTTGGCGGTGGTTATGCACCTTCGACATATGCGCAATCTACCCTTGCTGCGTCAACCATCATGCCCAGCATGCAAATCCACCCGGTTACCAATACCGACACCACAGTCTGGGTTGAAGGACATTGTTTGAACTGGACCCCCGGCGATGTGTCGAACTGCACCATATGCGAAGACAGGGGAGAAGGAGATGGGATATACACTTGCGCAGGCTGCAAGGTTAAATCACATGGCAGGTGTCTCGGATTTGTCTCTGTGGTTTGTCCCGAGGCATTCCACGCTGATCGAGTGCGGGCCGCATTTGTGCGCTGCCAGGCCAGTCTCCTATACACGTATCGCAAGTACATGGGACGGCCCAACAAACAGCAAAAGAGCAACGGCCAGTTGTATGCTTTTGACATGGCGGGTTTCATCAAGAGTCTACCCTATGAACAGCAGGAATATACCACTATGCTTCGCGAAACCCAAGGTTCGTTGCCCTCCGCTAAAATCCCACGAAACATACATCCAACTAACTTGATTTGTAGGATTTAATGAGTTTATTCATGATCGGGAGGTCAAGCCTTCTACAGACCCATCTCTCCATCTCTTCGAGGAAGTGCTCATGGCAAAGAAAGCCCGAGGACGCCCAGGGCTGTCGGCGGGCTTTTCCCGCCTATCGACCATCCGTCAGTCTCACGGCGCCTCGCTCAATGTAGGCGGGTTTCTTCCTCCACGTCGGGGTAGCTCAAAATCTCCCACCTATCTGGCAGATACTTCAGATCATATCTGGCGAACGGCTTCAGTGCCCGTGCCCAAGGGTAATTTTCCCGGAGATTATCATGCGATTGTAACACGCACGCCAGCCCGCTTAGACAGATCTTTGATGCGGGAGCCCCGGGCCATCCAAGGCGTACCTCGCCTGGACCCCCGTGGCGGGAAGGTTGTTCCCCGGAAGCAGGTACCCAGCATGCTGGGCCCTACGCCTCCTTCATGATTAGAACACATTGATTCTCCCTCGGTCGGCTTGCGTGGCAGGCGGCATGGCGGAGAAGAATTATTCTGTTATGTCAAATGTACAAACGACCTTTTTTGTAATCTATATTGAAATCACAAGAAACCCTGGGTATTAAGGGAATGGAAAATCATATTGCGGCGAAAAGTGCATTTGGTCAGAAGGCTATAGGGAAAGAACGGCCATCTTTTCAACAGGAATCTGGCCCCGTTGTTGGATTATTTGTTTACATCAACTGGGGTGCATGCATCTTAGGGGAGTAACGGTGGTATATATACATCCCTTTTTTCATTTGGGGGACGGGGACAATATTGATATCATTTCTGCTGTTACTCTATTATTAGTAGACCTATTGGCAACTGAATATGAAACACGC